CATGCACCAAATCAACTTTCTGGACTTAGAAGTCCAAACTTTGAAATGTGAGTTTATTCATTCCTTTATTTATCAAACAAATAAATATTTTAGTGCCTATACTGTAAAAAATACTATTCTGGATTCTGTTGATCTTAAATTCAAGGTATTGAACCACACACAATTAAAAATGGGTTATGGGAGTTGAAAAAAATGGATTATGGAAAAAATATACGGACTAAGTGTATGCAGGATGGATAAAGATTTTAATGCAGAAATTGATAATTCATTCATAGAATTGTTCTGATTCATCAAATGAGGAAGCAGGGAAACAAGTATCTAGAACCATGTAATAAGGACTTCATTTAGTCCTTAAGACTAATCTGTTATTCATTTTAGTCTCTAGGGGAACCCTAAAATCACAGTAAGTTATTTTAAACATCTTAGTGGAATTGTTATGAAATACAGTCATCCCTTTGTACCAGTAGAGGATTGGTCCATGACACACACTCCATGGATACCAAAATCCCTTATATAAAATGGCATAGTATTATTTGCTTATAACCTACACATATTCTCCTGTATATTTTAAATCATCTCTAGATTATTTATAATACCTAATAATAGAAATACTATGTAAGTAGTTATGTGTTGTTTAAGAAATAACGACAAGAAAATGTCTGATGCAGAACTAACTTATTTTAATGTTTTTAATGCCAAGTTGGTTGAATCCACAAATGCAAAACCTACAGATATAGAAAGCCAATGTATCCCAATTTTATAGATTAGTAGAGTAGATCTAGTAAATGATTGTTGAAAAAAAGTTAACATTGAAACTTCTGGCCTCACCAAGCATGTTGGTACACTCCAGTAATCCCAGCAACTCAAAAGCCTGAGGCAGGAGGATCACAAGTTCAAGGCCAGACTCAGTAATTTAGTGAGACCCTGTCTCAAAAAAAAAAAAAAATGATGCTCAGGATGTGCCTCAGTGGTTAAGCACCCCTAGGTTCAATTCCCACTACCCTCCCCTGCAAAAAAACCTGTCCTCACACTAGGGATGTAGCTCAGTAGTATAGTACTTGCCTAGCATGTGCAAGACCCTGGGTTTGATCCTAAGTACCAACTGCAAAAAAAAGAAAACTTGTGTATTTGTGTATATGTGTGTGTGTACACACACACACACACACACACAATGTATCAATATGTATTCATTATTCATATATGTATATGAATTTTATTATGTGTGACAGTGTTATTTGTTTGCTGGACACATGACACACATTTGGGAGGCCAAGGCAGAAGCTTAAACCTAGGAGTTTGGGGCCAGCTTGAGCAACATAGCCAGACCCTGTCTGTGTGTGTGTGTGTGGGGGGGGTAAAACTTGCAAAATTAATGAATCATTACATTTTTTTAAATTATGTGACTTGCTACAAAAATAGCTAGTTGAACCATTTTTTCCATTTTAAACCCAAACAAAAAACTTAACCCAAGAATCTTTTATTTAATTATTTATTTATTTGGTGGTGCTAGGGATTGAACCCATGGTCTTGTGCATGGGAGGCAAGCACTCTACCAACTGAGCTATATCCCCAGCCCCAACCAAGAATCTTGACATAAAGTTAAAACATCTGGCTGGGCATAGTAGTATACACCTGTAATCCCAGTGACTTGGGAAGCTGAGGTAGAAGGATTGCAAGTTCGAGGCCAGCCTTAGCATTTAGGCATTAAACAATTTAGTGAGACCCTGTCTCAAAAAAATTTTAAAAAGCTGGGGGTGTGTCTCAGTACTTGACACCCCTGGGTTCAATCCTGAGTACCAAAAAACAAAACACAAAAGTGATAGCATCTGTCTTCTATACAACTTTCATACACCTTTCCATACTTTATTTTATAGAATGTCATAAAATCCAGGAGTACCTTTCCATTCTTATCTGGCCAGTGGGGGGGGAAAAAAAAAAACATGCCTTTCTTCAAGGAGACTCCAAAATCCAGTAACTAAACTCTCAGTACTTAAAAGAAACCATGTTCTCCCCCAGAATCTTACCAATCTATCTACTGTGACTCTAGCACTCAATGAATTAACCATTTGTTGTCTTGGAGAAAGGAAATACTTTTATGTGGAGAGTTACAGAACCACCCAACCCTGCTATTCCTTCTATAACCACCAAAGTGATTTTTTTTTAATACCAGGGTTTGAACTCAGGGGTATTCGACCACTGAGCCACATCCCCAGCCTTATTTGTATTGTATGCTCTCACTAAGTTGCTTAGTGCCTCGCTTTTGCTGAGTCTGGCTTTGAATTTTTCATCCTCTTGCCTCAGCCTCCCGAGCCACTGGGATGCATGTGTTCACCACCGTGCCCAGCTCCAAAGTGATCTTTTTAAGACAATATGATTTTTTTGCTTGAACCTCTCTGCCCAACCAAGCCTAGTCTTTAGTCCTTCAATATCCTAAGAATCTCATCTCAAATAATTGTTATTAAATAAACTCTCAAACCATTCTTTTTTAAAAATATTTTTATAGGTGGACACAATATCTGTATTTTATATTTATGTGGTGCTGGGGTTGAACCCAGTGCCTCACGCATGCTAAGTGAGCCCCCTCTACCTCTGAGCCACAACCCCAGCCCCTCAAACCATTCTTCATGACCCTTTTCCCAGCAATAATGTCAATCTCTACTTCTAGATTATAAACTTGAGTTCAGTTTTGCTTTCTTCTGCCGTTCAGAGCCTTGCTTAGTAGTGCCCAACCACGTTTTGTTTGGGTACTGGGGATTGGACCCAGGGGTGCTTTGCCACTGAGCTACATCCCCAGTCCTTTTTAGATTTTTTTTAGACAGGGTCTCACTAAGTTGCTTAGGGCCTCCCTTGCTAAATTGCTAAGGCTAACCTCAAACTTGCGATCTTCCTGCCTCAGCCTCCCAAGGTGCTGGGATTACAGGTGTGCACCACTGCACCTAGCTAGTAGTGCCTAACACATATTAAGGTCATTTTGGGGGTTCTCTGTGTGTGTGGTGCCAGTGTCCTGCCGGCACCCCAACCCAGGTAGTTACCTGCCCCACTCCCCACTACTGGAGTTTGAATCCATGGCTTTGTGCACGCTAGGCAAGAGCTGTACCATTAAGCTACATACCCAGCACTCACAGCTTTTCTTATGGGAGGTGGGTACTGCAAATTGAACTCAGGGTGCTTTACCACTGGTAGATCCCTAGTTCTTTATTTTTGGGGACAGAGTCTCACTACATTATTGAGGCTAGCCTTGAACTTGCAATCCTCCTGCCTCAGCATCCCAAGTTGTTGAGACTACAGGGGTACACCACCACACCCTGCTCTAGGGAGTATTTTCAAAATCATTTCTCATTAGGAATAGCTATTTTCAAGAAATAAGTATCACTACTGAAGTAGTTCAATTTAGCAAATCCTTTATGTAAGCTTGCTACCTCAACTACTTACTAGACTTACTTTTTATTTTTTTGGCAGCAGCGGGGTAGGGTACTGGAGATTTAACCCAAAGGTGCTTTACTACTGAGCTACATCTCCAGCCCCTTTTAAAAACTTTTGAAATACAAGGAGTCTAAATTGCTTAGGGCCTTCTAAATTGCTGAGGCTGGCCTAGAGCTTGCAGTCCTCCTACCCCAGCCTCCTATCACTGGGATTAGACATGCGCCACTGTGCCTGGCCTTACTAGACTTCTTAAGTCATCATTACTTTTCAGTTACTCATCCACTTTTTTCTCAGCAACCAACATATCTTCATTGAACATGTTTGCCATGGAAGCCTTCATTATCACTTGGCATTTTCATTTGCTTAAATGCACTGCTCACATCTTTCTTAACTTCTGTGTTGTAACAATGCCCTTAACCCACTGTACTCTCTGCCTCTACAGACAGGCATCTCCCAAAACCTATGTGCATAGCTGTCATTTCACTTACACAATAAACATCTCCATACTGGTAAGTTATTGTGTTGCTTTAGTTTTATAAGATACTGATGTTTCATTTCATCTTTTATAAATTCTGAATGGTTGGTCTTTTTAAAAAATTGTTTTAATTAGTTGTACATGACCGTAGAATGAATGGTAGGTCTTGGTGCACCCATTTTACAGATGAACTAGTAAATGGATTTTTTTAGGAGATGTGAATTCAAGTCATTTGACTCTGAGCAATCATTTATCTTTGAAGGGCTGGTGACTTCCAAGACTATCTGTGCACCACATTCCTTCAGAGAACAAGGAAGTTATCACAAGTCTCATCACAGAGATTGGGATCGGAGCAGAGTGCTACTTTATAGTGATATTGGCTCATTAGTCTATACATCAAGTATGAATTCCTCATCTTAGCGCACTATAATTTGATTCTCTGCCATCTTATCTCTCTCTAAAACCAACTCATCATTCTATTCAGCTTCGCTTCAAGTGTTTATTTCAGTAGTAGTTCTAGAAACTAAGACTGGTCACTCTTCTAAAACCATTACTTTGAATAATGGTAATTACAAGATCTGAATTTTAGTCTCCTATGTGATTGTGGGAACATATTTTTCTAGACCCATTTCTTTTATGTGTGTATTTAGAAGGTAGAACTTTGTTTAAAAACTGGATTGTTCTCTTAGGCCTAATTTGTACCATTCTATATTCCTTTTGTAACAATGTTGGTGGGGGAGAGGGGCCTGCTGGGGTTTAAACACCTCTAGCAACCTTTTTTGGCTATATTGAGGAAGCTTTGTATTCACATACAAGCATGATCACACAACAATGCAAGGTATGAGAATATGCTGTTATATTGATAGTCTCAGGAATTGCAAGGTCTTTGGTCACAGCCCTCTCTGAGCCTGTTTCCTTATTGCTTTTTCCTGATCCACAACCCCTTGTGGTTCTTATAGGTTTGTCCTGAAGATCAATATTAAAAGGGAAAGTAAGGTTAAAAAACAAAAAACTGTACTTGGGAACAAAAAAGCACTATGCCAGTATAAGTTGTTAGAAATGATATTGTTTCTGATAGCTGATAAAATTCATCAAAGAAAAGTGCTTCCATAAAAGTTTTATTTATCCCCACAACAACCCTGTGAGGTAGGGTGATCAGGGCATTTGAAGATGAGAAAACTAAGTCTACATTACTTTTTCACGGCTATACTGCATAGTAAATAAGTAGAAATTGAGATTTTTAAATGTCCATAACTTTATACTGATTTATGTGGAAATAGGTAGAGAGAATATTAACTCCCCCCTACCTTAATGCCAAAAGGACACTGCCTTGAAAAATCCCATTCAAAAGATGAAAGTAGTATTCCATTGCTTATTTCTACAAAGATTTATAAAATAAAAAAATAGTGAAATATTTTACAGTTTATATATATGTATATATATATTTATATATTTATATAATGGTCTCATTCAGGGACATGTCCTTCAGCTGTGTATATGATCAACTATTCCAAGTCCTAGAAATGCAAACTCTTAAAAAATATGAAAGACAAAAATGGTAATGAGCAATAGCCTCAAACTTCTTTATTATTCCTCCATGTATCTTGAATAAGTTCTGTGAAATTTGGTCCTATTTTCTAAAAAAGGAAAAATTAAAAAAAAAATTTGTAACTACCACAGAAATTTCTGATAAACTTTTATTTTGTTGACTACTCTCAAGCCACTGCCACATCATTTAGAACAGGGATTTCCCAAACCAGGAAGAGCTTTAAAAAGACCAAACTCTCCAAAGTATATTGTTACATTGTGTGCATGTATGAATATGTAAAAATAGATTGCATCATTACATACACCTCTATAGGGGGGGAAAAACCATCTGGCCCCATAATGAGAGTTTTCTAGGGACAGGCTTTGGGAATCTTACTAGAAAAGCTCCTCTAAAATTTTTGTGAGTGTGTCGGGGGGTAGGACAGCACAGGATATTGACCCCAAGGAGTACTTTACATTGAGCTATATCCCCAGCCTTTTTAAATGTTTTAGAAATTTGAGAGAGGGTCTCACTATGCTGTCTCAAATGGACTTTCTATCTTCCTACCTCACCTTCCAGAGTTGGAGGGATTACAGGTGTGTGCCACCGGACCCAGCTCCTTAGGGTAATTCTAATGATGTGAGGTCTGGGAATCACCAAAGTATCTTAAAGTAATAGTATCTGAAATAAATAGTATATAAACTTATTTTGCTCTCTTAACCTCTTTTGAAAAAGGTCTCAAATAATTTTAGCTCCAGAACTTTTGCCTCTAGGCAATTAATTTCAATTCAAGATACAGAGAAACATTTTATAAAAATGTATCCTTGTCAGTGATATTTAGATTCCAATAATAATTTAAGTAGCATTTAAATATGACATACTGAGTTTTGTGGTTCTTACTCTGAAATTTTTAAGTGTGTATTATAGAAATTCCTAGCAGCTTTCAACTCACAGGAAGACATGAAAAGTGATGACATAATCAAGTATATCACAGCACTGAAACCATATACTATATTCAAATATAACTCATGAGAGGAATAAGAAAGTGAATGAATGACAACCTAAGGCCTTTTGGCCCATACATTTTTGTTCCCAGTCCACTCTTCCCCTATAAGGGGAAATAAAATAAACATTCTTTCCTAGTTGCTTGGCATAGTTATTCGGTGGGTAAATATTAGCTAAGTTAATTTAGACAAGATTAAAAGATAACAAATAAATACCTAGGAAGACAAAGAGAAGTCAGATCAGAAAACCTTAACTAGCTAATGAAGTAGTACATAACACCATAATATTAGTACAAGTAAATGAAGGCTTCATTGTCCTTTACATTTCATGTTTTTATGACTGACACAGATGTGAAAGAGATCTGGTCCTTATGAAGAATTTTGTGCTCGCTGGAAAGATCTGTAGGCATAATGAAATGTTTTCTTCCTTGATGAGATGAAGTCTTCTGTTTTTCAGGCAATTGACAACAAAATAATGAGAAGCGAACATCTTTAGAAGGTCGAATGAAAGTAATATCTAGTTGCAAAAGTCATTGGCCAAAGATAACTTCAAAAAAAAAATTGTTAACCCTATTTTTTTAAAAAAAGAAAGCCAGAGAAATATATATATATATATATATATATATATATATATATATTTATATATATATATATATAATTTACACATAAACCATATATATATATATAAAAATATATATAAACAATGTACACATCCATTTCACCAACAGTTACAAGCAAATAGCTGTTTATAGAAGTTATACAATGCTTCTTCCAACAAATCCCAAATCAATTTTGGGAAGCAGATAAAGCCACTGGGTAAATAAATATTCCGACTAGCTAATATAAAACAATTTATGATTATGAACTGTCATCAGTTCTTTTAGGATCCAAGAAGAAATATTGTGATAAATCTGATTAGGGATACATATATTACATGAAATTTTAAAAACAACTAATTAAAACAGCCTAACAATGACAACAAATATTTAAAAGAATGTCTTAAAAGTCAGATTTTATCACTGAAAATAGCACAATTTTCTTAAGTACTTCAGAGTTGTAATGTGTGCATAGGTCACTTTTGCTGTGTGTCATCATGGACCCATCTCTCTCCTGCATTCACTACAATTAGATTTTAAGATTTTATGTTTCCCGTGTGAGCTGATGGGCTGGCACATCTCAATTAAAAAAATACACACCTCCCATTAACTAAATGGAAGTGTTAAATATCCATTAACAGATAAAAAAGGTAATGGGGAGATTTTAAATTTTGTACTAACAACTTTAAAATTACCCAAATAAAGTGATGAAGAAATAATATATTAATTTGGTCTAAAGAAATGTTCTCTGGCCATATAAAATTGCCCTTATTTAGCTTTACAGAAGCTTGTTATGCTTGATTTGTTTATCAGCTGATATAAAAGAATACTCCTAGCATGGGATTGAAAAGGACTTTACCATTAATAAAAGATAATTTAAAAGTTGCTTTTTATTATTAAAGTGCACAGAGGCACAGTGGTATAGGTGCTTACATTTCCCTTTCAGTTATGGGAAGGCCCTTTGGGACTGTATTTAATCAGAACAGCTTTCAGCAAATACGATGTAGGCTGAAAGTTCAGATCTTATTTATGTTTTGGGTTTTGCTGTTTGAGCATAAAAAAGAAGGGAGCAGGGAGAAATGTAACTAGGTTCACAATTTTGCGCAAGAGCATATGTAAAGGTAACGTATGTACATTTTATTTCAAGAAAGACATAAGACAAACAGCATAAAGATGCCCAGATGCCCTAAAGATAAATACATTTCAAAGATTCTCATTAAAACGAATCTGTAGTATTTTTTCCTACAAGCAAAATACCTTTCTTTAAATTAAAAAAAAAAAATCAGTATTCTGAATTGCAAATGCTTTTGCTTTTTTTTTTTTTTTGCAGAAAATCTGCCATGATTATTTTTTTTTAATGAATAAGGATTTTCCACAAAACAGGCTTGCTCTACATGCTAGATTTTAAACAGTTCAGTGACACAATATGCTAACTACATACACAACAGATAATATAGTAAGAAAACACTCAACCTGATGAAAAGTTAAAATCTTCATTAATACACTGAAAACTGACATAACTCATGCCTTTTAAAATCAAAAATACAAAAATTAAATGTTTTCCTAAAAAGATTTCCTTATTTTAAGGATTCATTTGAAAATGAAGCTGCATGTAATTTGTACAATAAGTTGTACAAGTAAACAGGTAATATACATAAAAAATTAACTGACATACTCCTCAATTATCAGTTGTCCATCTTTAATTTCCAATACTGTACTTTCTTAACAAGCATACAAAATATCAAACTTCTCTTTAGAAAAAGTGCCGTTCTTTGACATCCTTTACACAAAAACAGTCTAAGCCTGTGGTATGTTAATGCAGTTGAGAGGCAAAGCATACTAACTTTTACAAATTCTACCTTCCATAAAAAGCCTCCCGAAAAGGAGATTACACACCACTATAAAAATATCAACCTCTTGTGGTAGCTGCATTAGAGAACCAAGGCTTGAAGACTATTTTCATATAGCATAGAAAACCACTATGAGAGCCTATTAACTGCATTGGTGGCTTGGGAGTGTACTGTGCCACAGGATTATGCATAGCTACTGTTAGGTACCAAGACTGTTACACAGAGTTTTAAACTGATTGTAACTGAGAGCATAACAGAGGTACTACCAGCCCATGCAAAGTAACTAAAAATACTGAGTCACTGTGCTGCATACTTCATTCCTGGAGAAAACCAAAGGCAGCAGTAACTAAATCAAGCCCAACAGGTGACTAAACTTTTCTCCTCAAAGATTGGTGAGCACAGTGAAGTCTGAGGTATACCTTTATCCATTAAATCTGTGTGCCGTTGCAAGATATTACCATTTGGGAATACACGCCATCACAATGGTTTAAATCTTTTGAATATTAGTCATCATATATATTCTTATCTACCCAGTCTCTTGATTTTTAAAAAGATTTCACCTACAGTAGAATATTACAGAAACAAAATATAAATGCATGTCTTTTTAAATGAAACTTACATGGACTAAAAGTAGAGAATATTTTTAAACAAATATACAATATGCAGGCAGACAAAGCAGGAAAACGGCCATTCAAATGTATAATAAAAAAACTAAAAACTATTTCCAGAAAACTATGAAGCGCCTCAACTAAAAGGAATGCATAATGAAATTCTAATCTAATACAGGTCAAAAATGTAAAAAGGTTATAAACCTTAACAGGAAAAAATAAAACAACTTTTACTGGCCATTCCTGTTGAAATGAGAATCATAAAGTAACAGAAAAGTGGCTACAAACCCACTTAGAGCACCAAACAGAGAGAAAATAAAAGTCCATTTTCATCTCTGTTATTATCATAAAATCCTGTGTAACTACAGGTCAAACTGCTGGTGGCAGAAACAGAATTCTTTATAAACTGCAGATGTCCTGTACATAAAAAAATTTCACTGGAGTTGCACTAGTTCTAAAGACTCTTCTGTTTTAGCCTACCTACTGTATGTATTCAATCTGAGATAGATAGTCTCTTTCTGTAACCCTTGATTATTATTGGGCACCAAAGATAAGAAAAGCAAGACGGGGTACAAAAATGCAAAATTTCAACAGTAATGGCAATGTTTTTGTTTCAGTCCAAAAGGGTCCTGCATTCTCTCCCCCTTCAGTGATTTGACAAGTCTTTGTACTTAATCTGGGGGCAGCAAATCATGCAAGCGAAATCTGTCTCTGATGTGAGGTCGGACATCTTCATTCTGTGTGGAAAAAAAAAGAGACCTTTTTAAAAAAGCTACATAATTTCAAAGATATGATCCTTATAACATTAAAACAGCTTTACTCTGCAGAGGAAATGTACTATTTAATTTCATGATTTGTATTATTTTGCTCGCCAAATACAGTCAGCCTTCTATAGCCACTGGTTCCACAGCTGTACACTCAACCATCCTTGGATCAAAAACATTCAGGAAAAAACTGCATGTGTACTGAACATATATAGAGTTTTCCCCTGTCTTAATTACTAAATAATACAGTATAACAAATATTTATTTACATTGTATTAGGTCTTATAAGTAATCCAGAGATAATTTAAAGTTTATTGGATGTGTATACGTTATATGGCAATACTAATTCATGTTATATAAGGGACTTAAGCAGATTTTGATATCAACAGGAGATCCTAGAACCAATTCTGGATGGACTTCAAAGGATTATTGTACAGAAATATAACACAGATACAGTTAACTTGTAAGATAGATGAGAGGATTAAGCCATTAAATCTTACTTTCCTCTTAAAATTGACTGGTGCAATACTTGGGAGGATGAGGCAGGAGATCAAAAGTTAGAGGCCAGCTGGGCAACTCAGTAAGACCCTGTGGCAGTAGTCCAGTGGCAGAATTCCCCGGGGTTCAGTCCCCACTACTGGGGGGAAAATGCTCATAGAGACCAACGGTGGGCAGTGAAGTCTGGGGTTCAGAACTCCAGGTGAGATTCTACATCACTGCATTCTAACTCCAGTCCTATAATTCTTTGCCAAAACTTATTGAGGAGGGAGAGCCCTCTCCTTGTCCTTGGTCTCCTCAGTGGTCTGGGACTTTCCATTTGTTTCTGTGATGTATCTCTTCTCTCTTCCCTTCCATTAAAGATCTTCCCCTAATCCTTTGGGCCAATTTACTGGTCACTGATTAATTTCCCTTGAATACCAATTTTGTATAGAGGGACTTTCTTTAACCCCCACCTGCTGAGATCTCACACATCTGCCATGCAGCTGTGAACCTTGACTGTTACAGGTGATGACAGAACTTAAAAGACTCCTTCCTCTCTTCCCTAAATCACAACTAGCCTCTGGGATCTGCCCACATGTGTTCACCCAGTGACTCTCAAGCCACTCTAGAGGTTTCCCTTCTGTCCCCACTTGTTCAGTGAGAGTCTAGCTCATCCAACTCCAGGAAATAGAGTAGTTTTTAGGGAAGTTTCCATGTCTATACCTGCTACTCTTAACATGAACAGATGTGAGGATAAATTAAAACCATATTTTTGGCTCCCTGGAGCTATTCCTGATCTATAGGATTTACCTGCATCTCTGAAGTCCTAATTCACAGACCAAAGCCTAGTCCACTCATTTTGCCATCAAGGCCCCCGATAGCATTCTTGGTATCTGTTTTTGTATACTTCATTAGAAAGGAGTGTAAAAGAGCCACATAGACACTTTGCCTCTTCAGTATACAAATGTAAGTTGTAATATAGAATATGGCGTATGTTTTTGTTTTGTTTTTTCCTTTGGAGGGGAGCTCTATGGGGAATTAAACTCAGAGCCTTGTGCATGCTAGATAATACAGAGTATCTTTTATTTGATTATAAGACTAAGCCTAACTGATTTCTGCTGTAGATTTTTAAAAACTATTTCTTTAGACGTTGATGGACCTTATTTTATTCATTTATTTATATGTGGTGCTGTGAATCACACTCAGTGCCTCACACATGCTAGGCAAGCGTTCTACCACCAAGCCACAACCCCAGCCCCTCTGCTGTACATTTTTAAAAAGTTTATTAAAAACGTTAAAAAATCCTCAATCTTTTTGAAACTTTCCCCTAATCTCTCAGCAGTTAACTTTTAAAAACCAGTACACACAAAGCAAGAGATTTCCACATAGTTGACCAAAAAAAACAATAAATTATACTTACCAGTTCTACAAGCTTCTCCAGAAATGGAATCAATTTTAGGAGTTCATTGTCATTTTTATCCATAAACCAGCTTTCTATAGGGATTCCATTAGAAAGCTAAAATGATAAATAAGTAAGTAAATCCTTAAGAGTAACGGTATGGACATACTTACATTTTGCCTAGTATGGAAAAGTTTGTTTTGTTTTTTTTTTAAAGAAGAAACAATAGATTCAAGGAAACATGATTTAAAAGTTCCTTTGAAAAGAAATGCTACCAGAGTTTTGTCAACTCAATAGTACAAGAGATAGAAGGAATAAACTAAAACCTGAAGTTTTTCAGCATCATTTTTCTTCTCAGTGAATATAAAGCTAACAAGTTTAAGTTTCATTAAATCAAGTTTTGCAAAGACCATTAACATAACTAAAAACATTCCTTTATGCACTTACACAATAGTTACCACTAGTACAGTGGTTGGCAATATCTCTTTATTCATAATGCCTATCTAAAAAGAGAACATTGTCAGACAGAGACAGACACTGTGTGTGTGTATATACATAAACACATAATGTTTTTTTTTAACAAGGGACTATGTCATGCCTCAGCCTCCTGAGTAGCTGTGACTATAGGCACATGCCATCATGCCTAGCTACCATTTTTCTATTCTCAACATAAGTTGTATCTACTAGAGCTACATCTTCAGTTCATTTTGTTGCGATGACATTTTGCTGTTGCTCGGGCTGGTTTCAAACTACTGGGTTCAAGAAATCCCCCACCTGATGAGATAGGACTACAGGTAAGCACCACTACACGTGGCTAAAATTCTTAAGAACTTATTTTTCTGTGGTATTTGAGATTGAACCCAGGGGTGCTTTACCACTGAGATACACCCCAGCACCACCATCACTCCCAGCCTTTTTTTTTTAATTTTGAGACAGGTCCAGATTGGTCTGGAACCTGCAATCAACCTGCCTGAGCCTCTCAAGCTGCTGGGACTGCAGATATGTACCACAAAGCCCAGCTTAAAGTCACATTTTAAAATATAAGCAAATAAAAAGGTAGGGACTTGGACTGGGTATGTAACTCAGTGGTTTATGCTGAAATTGTGCAAATCCCCCACCAAATGAACACACTTCAATGCCATATAATTTTGCCCCCCTTTTCTTACTATGGGCATTGTGAGACAGAAGTTAAGGGACAATCTTGTTCTAGCTACCCCTGACTCGGATTTGGCACTGATTTATTGCAAATCGAACCTCAGATATCATACCACATGGACATATCCATAGTATAAAATATATCTTGCAAGGATGATTCATGTTTACTTGTTTGTTCTAAGAAACATTAAGGAAGGATACAATTATGTTGACAAAATAGTCTTAATAGTTCAGAACGTTATAGCAAGTAGTCTACAACAACAAGGTCATTAGGCCTATTATAATTCTCAACATGCTTACAATTATTGGTTTAATTACTGGTAAGTGTTATTAAATGATGTACTATCTTATAGCTCCTCCTTATTCAGATTCAGATTTACTACTCAAATTCATTATTTTTGGCATTTCTAATTACAAAAGATGACACATAAAACCGGAAAATTCCACCAGTGAAAATTGTTTTTCCCCACATCATATTCTTTTTGGCAGTAATTTTTCTTCATTGTATTTTTTCCAATCTAAGTTTGTTTAGCAATCCTCTTCCTACCTGATATGCAAAGGCTTGTGGTGAGTTGTCAATTATTATAGTTTTTGAAAGATCCCTTCCAAGGATATTTAAGTCCTTTATATAGTTTCCTTGTACACAAACACAATGTTCACGGAAAAGTCGGTGCCTAGACACAAAAATAAAAGAAAATTAAAAAAACAAAAAACAAAAATCCCTTTTAAAAAGTACTTCACATACTGAAACATGTACACATACATATACCATAGGCTTTACAGAATAAGCCTTATTATTTTCTCTCACTAAGGAAATTCAAATATAATACTGGGCCTAAGCTTTGGGCTACAGTTTTATAAAAAAAAAAAAAAAACAAACTTAGCAATTATTGAAACCTTACAACCCAATATTGCCATTCCTTAAAGAACTTGGGGTTATCCAAAAACATTAAATTATAAAGGGGAATTAAAAATTCTAAATTGTTTTTGTAATTTATTTACCCAGGAAAGCTCAGTTCAGATGCAGCATCTGGTTGTCAGCGAGGTCTTGCTTTTTAACCAATTTTCCAGATGGTTGACTGAGGCACAAGGAGGTCAAGTGACTTCCCAAAGTCACATAAGTCAGTGGTTAGCCCCGCATTGGAACCCAGGATCCTCCTGGCTCCCAGTCCTTTGCTCTAACCAGTAGACCACACAGCCTCCCTATCCCTGTACATGCCAGAATAGAAAATATAAGAAGGAATGTTTTTGTGTTGGCATCTTAAAAAAATGTTTTTTTTTTAGTTTTCGAGAAAACGTGCTGCTGAGGCCAAAACATTCCATCATTTCAACTTTTCCTAAACACCCCTATTTCTTTTGTGTGTGTGTGTGTGTGTGTGTGTGTGTGTGTGTGGCTATTTAATAAGGGACTGAATTAAATGGTAAATGGTAAAATTCAGATTTAAGTATTATAAACTGATGTTTCACTGATTTTTGGCTCTTTAATGCCACATTATTTTAAAAAGCTAGTAAAGCTTTTATAATAATACTTAAATACTACTTATACAATGTCCATTAACCTTCAAAATATTAATCTCTTACATTACTAATAATTGATAATACTGACTTTTTCACCTTGAAACACTCCATCCTGTATACCTTAATAATTGACAGTTTGTCTTTCCTTGTTTCTTAACTCCTATAAACAATTTCTCAGGAAATAGGGACTACTCATACCTGTATTGCTTTTTTTATTTCAGCGATTTTATTTGAAAATGTTTCTAAAATACATTGAATGCGTCTTTGCCTCTTCAGCAGAGGTTTCTTTTTATTGTTTGACTACTGGGGGTGAATACTATGAACAGTCTATTTACTACCCTGCAGAGCTGTAATAGAGAAGTGTTTTCCAATATGAATGTGGAGATGGCCACTTGCCCCAATACAAAATGACCCTAAGCTACTACAATGTTTGTTTATTTGTTGTACTTGAGTCTTTTCTGTTTCCCTGCATCCTGCATCGTAATATGACCATCAGTTGAGACTTGCTGATTTTAATGGGTTTGCCCTTTGTTTCTGATATACTATAAGTGGGGAATCCATACTCCTAAGCTAAAAAAATTTTGTATAAAGCAAGAATGTACAGGTTCAAAATGAAGATCAGAGGGACTATATAAATAAAGCTCATAAACTGAAAATATGTGGGTACTGAGAAATCACTTTGTTGCTTATAGGCTTTTTTTTTTTAGTATGGCCATTTTTAAAAATTCTGATTTGTTATACTTGATGGCAGAATGAAATTTATTTTATATTACATACATAAAGCACAATTTTTCAAGATACTGATTTTATACAAAGTATTTTCATATTATTCATGTCTTATACATGTACTTATGGTAATAATGTCTAATTCATTCCATCATCACTCCTACCTGCCTCTTTTCCTCTCCCTCCCCTCATACCTGTATTTTTAATTATGCAATTTCCGGGGGCGGGGGGGGAGTATTTTCTACCCACAAAATCTGTCACAGCTCAACAAAAATAAACTTATATACACATACCCCATTTTAATTACTCAAATCATCATCTGCTCTAAAAGGTTTAAAGACAATTCTACTTTGGAAAAATGACAGCAAATATTTTACTTCTATAGACATTCAGATAATGGAAATTGGAGAGGCAGGCACAGCCTGTAATCCCAAGTCACTGTGTTGATGTCTCTTTTGCCAACAGTGCCAAATGCACTAATACAAAAGACAAATGAACATGACACTATGGTTACTTTAATTACACTATAAACTCTCCAGGAATCTGAGGACCAAGAGTAGGAATTTCCAGTTTAAGAAAAATCTACTTGTGCCACTCATTTAATAGCAGATCTTCCATGTCAACAAATCTGCATTTGAATTCATGGCATTCAGAGATTACAGGAATTTTCAGTCTACCCCACTGTCTCTAAAGGTGAATTCCCCATAGCATTCTATTCAAATCTACTATTCAAAATGTTCTTCTGGTCAAATTTTTTCAAAATTACAACTAGAGGAAACAAATTTATACTCCCCAATATGTTGATTTTTTTAAAGCTAATTTTTAAAAAGGATGTTAATTTATAACAATGTAATAGCATAATGAAAACTCCAAAGGTTTATGTTGCTTATCATTGTTTCATAGAACATTATACACGCTGAACAGAAATCTTTAGAATGAATGAAGTCATCAAAACAAAATCATTTTTATACATTTATTAAAATCAGGTAAAATGAGCATAAATTACAATATACTTTTGTGAATAGAAAATACTATTTCTCAAGTGTATGTCTCCAGCTGATCCTTTAGATTGAAAAACAAGAGAATAGTTTTATATAGAAGGAAAAACCCTGAAATGAGGACATTAGAAAAAACCTTTCTGTATAGTTGTAACCACTCAATAATAAAGGAATCATTAACAGCAGAAAATTAAGTTTAGGTTTTTTCATGAAGACAATATGGGACAAAGTGCTCAAGAAAATTAATACTTAGCTATTAAAGCTTTTATGAGCCTTCTGTGTCATCTCCACTCTTGGTAAAAAATTCAAAAGACTTACTCCTATATCTTTTTAATTTTTTTATTAGAGACGGACATAATACCTTTATTTTATTTGCTTATTTTTATGTGGTGCCAGGGATCGAACCCAGTGCCTCACACATGCTAGGCAAACACTCTACTACTGAGCTATAACCCCAGCCCCTAACTCCTATATCTTAAAGGATGCAACAAGATTGTTGCAGTCTTAACTGAAGTCTCACTTCAGATGACAGAAATAATTAAACTGATTTTCAAAATGTTTTAAAAATCACCCAATGTACCCCTGGCCTAACCAGGAATGCATGCCATCTTCTGGTTCAGGCACATGTAAGGAACTGAATCAAGATTAGGAAATCCTGAGTAAATCAAAATTTTGTTTGCATGTGCTCTGCCGCTGAGTCACATCCCCAGCCCTGACTAAACCAACTTTCATTTCCAATTAAATTTATGTATCATTTTCATTCCATGGAAGATAAATTTGCTCTTGAAAAAACACAAGAGTTCAATTTGATCATTTCTGTTAACATCAACTCGTTTATGCCATTAAAAAAGGAATACAACATGCATTATCTCAGAAAAATAAGGTCAAACATCATGCTCACAGTGGAAAATTCAACACAACCCCCCATTCCCCCATCCCAAAAGAAATGAGGATATAGATGTCACATTGAATAAATACATTTGGTCTTCGTATCCTTTAGAAAGAACGTCTGTCTGGAGTTATGGTTAGGAACTCTAAGAATTTTGGGGCTTAAGAAAATTCATTTATTTTTGCCATTCAACATAGTAAATCTCTATATAGCCAACTGAAAATGGCTATTAAAATTAAATAGAATCATCATAATTTCATAGATCAGTGTGACAGACATTTCCACTATTTCTTAATTAAATTTACCTGACCAGTTGCTTTTTAGGGTCTAGTATGTTCAGTAACTTGTCTGCATACACCTTCTTAGAAGCAGTAAAAAGAATGATCTACAAATTCAGGGGAAAAGAAGGAATCATTATACATGATCTAAATATGGGTACTATATTGAATAAAATGAAAATACGTATGTAATTAGGCTCAGCACATTTACCTCATACATCTGAGACATTCGTTCCAGGAATTCCCTGAAGAATGGTCTTAATCTCACATAAACCTAAAGAAATGCAAAGATAAGTTTTCAGCAAATAAAAAAAAAAATAAAACCACTTATTTTTAATATCTGTTGTGGTCTAACTTTTGATATGATTAAAAGTTTCATATTTTGGAGTAGAAATATTTACTAAGTACCACTCAAACCAAATATATTTCACATATAAGAAACCACTTAATCTTTTAGTGGAATAATCATCATCACTGGTGATCACTTCATTTTTGATAGTTATATAAAAGCATACAATGTAAAAGTTCTTCATCAGAATATAATTTTAACAGACATTTAAACTAAAAGTAGAGAGCTCCCCTCTGGGAATTTGATCCACCAATCAGCTCCATCTTCCAGCCAGGTAGCATCCATCCAATTATTAGGCAAGTTGTATGTCCATATCTAGCTGACCTGTCTCAATGACCTTCCTCAATAATTATTCAGAATTTCTTCTCAACAATTATCACCTGTTAAAATCCTATTTAAAATTTTTATTAAGGCAAACAATATTCAAGAAGGAATATCTGGACTGGTGGGCTTAAATAACCATTTTTTTGGAAATCAGAATTGCTCTTCTACATTTAATGATTTAGATATAGCATATAAATTAGTGCCACTGGGCTATTTCAGATTAAAACACCATTTCTCAGGCTGGGGTTGTAGCTCAGTGGTAGAGCGCTTGCCTAGCACACATGAGTCCTGGGTTCAACCCTCAGTGCCACATAAAAATAAATATATATTGTGTCCATCTACAACTTACACATACACACATACCAGTTCTCAAAACCTACTACTCAATATCAGGAAACACTAGAGTAACCAAATAGCTACCTTATGTGTATTTTCTTACTTTCTTTTTTTGGTACTGGGATTGAACTCCCAGGGTTGTTTAACCACTGAACCATAATCCTAGCCACTTTTTTGCTGAGGCTGGCTTTAAACTCATGATCCTCCTACCTTAATCTCCTGAGCTGCTGGGATTACACGTATGTGCCACCACGCCCAGCTATTTTATTATTCTGTGTCTGGCTTCTTACTTACATTTACTGTTGCTCTTGTAACATACTTAATACTCAAAAAGCAGAGAAATATAAAACCATGAACCACCTAACACTACTTACAAAAGATTGTGATTTCTCTAAATTGTATTCATTTTTTGATGTTTATAAAAAGAAAAATTTTGTACTCTACTGAAAGGTAACATTAACTACATATACCATAATGAATATTTATTGAACCAGATTCCGTGCATTCTGATTTTTTTTTTTTCTCCCTTAAAAAGGCCTATGGTGCCCAGCAGCCCAGGAGGCAGAGACAGGAGGATCAAGAAGAGGTCAAAGCCAGCCTCAGCAATATAGAGGTGCTAAGCAACTCAGTGAGACCCCGTTTCTAAATAAAATACAAACTAGGGCTGGGGATGTGATTCAATGATCCAGTACCCCTGAGTTCAATCCCCAGTATCCCCCACTTTTGGGGCCTTCGGTGGCTACAAATCAAATTTAGGCTTAGTGGAGTTTAGTTTAGGCATCTACACAAAAAATGTTCCCAAGACAACAAAAATCCCAGTTCTGGGAAATGTTTTATGGCAAAGCAGGGGTAAAAGGGGAATCATGCAAAGGACTTCTCAGAGGTAGGGATGTCCTTTCTACATTCTTTTTTTCACTACCCAGTCTACCAATTTTTGTACCAGGGAATGAACCTAGAGATGCTTAAACCAGTGAGTCATATCCCTAACCCTTTTTATTTTTTAATTATGGAAACAAGGTCTTGTGAAGTTGCTTAGAGCCTTCCTAAATATCTGAGGGTAGCCCCAAACTTGTGATTCTCCTATCTCAGCCTCCTGAGTCTCTGGGATTACCAGCACAAAACAATGCTAAATATATAGTAGGCATGTGACAAAAATCAAGTGAAATGCAACTCTTTAAAGTTAGGCAATATAGACAAATAGAAGCAATCCTACATGACTATACAACTGTTTGTATAACTGTTTGTTACTCTATAATAATATCACTCTGTTCTAATCTCTAAAATGATATACTTATTTTTAATCCCACTAGTTAGGTATTTCATCTAAATTTCAAGACTAATCAAAACCAAAGTGAGCCATACACACCCCATCCCCAAGCAGATAAAAATAACCAAATTCTCAATATCCAATCACTTATTTGTGATAAGGCATTAAAAAAACAAACAACAAAAAAAGTTAACTATAGTTGCACCTCTTCTTCTTTCTTTTTTGGTACCAGGGATTGAACCCAGAGGCCCTTAGCCACTGAGCCACATCCCCAAGCCTTTTTATTTTGAGGGTCTCACCAAGTTGCTTAAGGGCCTCACTGAGTTGCCGAAACTGGCTTTGAACCTGCAATCTTCCTGCCTCCCTAGTTGCCAGGATTATAGGTGTGCACCACTGTGCCCAGCTATACTTGCTCTTCTAAATAATATTAATATTTCAAAATTATCTGGTATATTTTGAATATCCAGGTTTGGAGCCTGGATTGAAAACCAAACATAATCTTATTTGTTTGTTAAGGCAAAAAATTACATTTCACTGGCAAACTTTTTTTCTAACATCCTCATTATCACTTGCTCAATATAGTCAAGTAAGAAAAACAGGGCTCTGACATTTGAGATTTGTTTCCTCTGTACACAACACACTTCCATTGCAGAGGAATACTCCCCCAACTCCCTCCAAACCAAAACAAAACCAAATTAAGTGATATTCCACAACTTCCAACAACTTCCCAATTAGGTCAACGATTCATCCTTCATTATGCATTCTATTATTTTCATTATTTTTTAAAAAAATTTTTTAGTTGTCAATGAACCTTTATTTTATTTATTGATACGTGGTGCTAAGAATCGAACCCGGTGCCTCACACATGCTAGGCAAGCGCTCTGCCACTGAGCCACAACCCCAACCTGTCATTATTATATTTATATATACAATGAAAACAAAAATTTTTTTTAGAATTTTTTTTAAACCCCTTCTGTGGTTCTGGGGAGAGAACCCAGGGACTAATGCCCCGTATGCATACAGGGCATGAATCCCCAACACACAACTTAAAATTTGACAGTGCTTGCTGGCAGCACACATCTCTAATCCCAGAAACTCAGGAGGCCGAGGCAGGAAGACAGCAAGTTCAAGACCAGCCTTGGCAACTTAGAGAGACCCTGTGTCCTAGGAGGATGGAAGGGAGGTTAAGGATATAACCCAGAAGTACAGCACTCCAGTATTAGAAAATAAATTTGAGTTTGCTTTGAAAATGTGTTTATTTACTGAGAATGAAAGGTAGCACTACACACAGAGGAATATATTGCTAGAGAGTTTCTTTAACATGAAAAGAGGAAGAAAAACTTGACTAAAGTTCCTATCAGAATAGATTCACCATTTGAACAGAAAAGTGCTTCAGGATAGACTGAGTAGCGAAAAAAAGAATGTAGAAAGGTCAAAATAACGAGTAGGTCTGAAGTTAGGACCATGTGATACAAAGGTAAGATCTCAGAAGTAGAAATAGGCCAGCAGGGCCTAAGTGTTTTGTATATTAAAGATAAATGTGACCAGAAATACATACAAGAAGCGCTATGTATTATCCTGCAGATACAGAGTATGTATAAAATCAAGAGCTTAAATTGTGTTGTTTTTTTTTTTTTTTGGGGGGGGGGGCGAGGAGGATTGAACCCAAAAGCACTTTACCACTGAGCCAAATCTCTAGGACTTTTGTTTATTTTTTGAGACAGGATCTCTCTACATTGTTTAGGGTCTTGCTTAATTGCTAAGGATGGTTTGACCTCCTGCTGCTGGGATTATAGGCCTGTGCCAGGATACCCCACAGCACCCAGCAAAAGAGTTTAATTCTTGAGAATATCATTACTTACTATGTTAAGATACACAAATATATATATACACACGTAGACAAATGCTTCAATATCTATTCCACAAGGTGCCTTTAGATCTATTTTTCTTCTAACTTTACTATCATATGAAGATTCCTGTCCTGAACTGCCTACTTCCCATTTTCCATCAACCATCTTTCTTCAAACTTGTGACTCTTAACTATGTAGTCTCCCAAAGATCAAAAGATCATTTCAGTCTAGTATACAAGTTCTTCGAAACCTACAGTTTCTATCTATACTACAAAGAGTTTAAATCTTTTCTCAATAATAAATTTTTTTTAAATGTCAAAAGTTTAAAAAGCAATGAATATACAAAGAAAGAACATTACATTAACAGTTCATTGATACTACTTGGAATGAACAATACTTCACATCCTGCACTTTATTTGGTAGTTAAGACAATGAGAATTTCCCAATTGTAAATATGTAGTACTAAACTTTAGGTTAACAGAACTAGACTAAACAAAACATAGTCATTTAAATAGAAATCCAATGGTATATAAATTATACCTCAAGAAATCTAAGTTATTTTAAAATGGAAAAAAAACCAAAATGTTAATTTATAATTTCAGTTCTTTCTTTATTGTGATATAACTATATATTTAATTTACATTTTAAAGAAATGTCAGAAATGCAAAATACATAACTAGAAACCCACTTATAAATTGGTTAAAAATATCGTGTGGTATGTTTAAATTCAGGCTGGGGTTCTGACCCAGTGGTAGAGTGCTTGCGTAGCATGCACGAGGCACCTGGGTTTTATCCCCAAGCACCACATAAAAATAAAATAAAATAAAAGTCTTTGTGTTCATCTACAACTAAAAAAATTTTTAAAAAATGTTTAAATTTAATCAAGTTATTTGTATTGCTTTATCAAACTGTAATCTTTTATCATAATAATATGATCAAAAACAAAATACAAAAAACACTACTCAAAGATAGGCAATTTCAAACTCTTAACAAATGGTTAATATTTTATGTAAGTCTTTTTAGGAAACGGCACTAAAGCCTGGACAATATGGCCCGACATCAAAAGGGAAATGTCTTTGATACTTTTCCCATAATATCCTTTGAACTTATTTTGCTACATTATAGCAATCAGTTTAAAAACCAATCGA